GAAAAAAACAAAACAAAAATTCTATCTATCCATCCATCCATCCATCCATCCATCCATCCATCCATCCATCCACATTCTTTCCACTTTGTCCCTGGGTTCCTTGTTCCCATCTTTCCCATATCTTCCTGACTTCCGAGTTTTGCTTTTGGGTAAATGCTGTCTTTTAGCGTCTCCCATGGTTGATTCTTGAGAGGAGCACATTCCTCACAGATATTCTTATTCACTTCATAGGTTGAAAGGTGATTCCCGGGAGTGGGTTCAGTTCTAGGTTGGAAGGGCTGGGTATATTTTTCCAATACTCCAGACAGCATTAAGCACACAGTATCTGCTCAACAAATGGCAGCTAAAACAACTTTCATCATTTTCACTTCTCTTGAATCTGTGAAAATTGCTTATCCCTAAACATAATGCTGTTTCTTATTTCTTTCTACTGAATGGCCTACAACTTGGGGGAACTCCAAGTATTTATGGTATAATGTGTAACTCTAGCTTTCAAATTCTTCATCTAAGTGAATGATGAAAATATTAAGAGCTAATACCTAATATTTACTCACTGCCATCAAGTGAATTTCAACTCACAGTGACCCTACAGGATTGAATAGACCTGCTCCATAGGCTTTCTGGGATAATGACTCTTCGTGGGAGCGGACAACTTCATCTTTCTCTCATGTAGTGGCTGGTGGGTTTGAACCACTGGCCTTGCAGTTAGCAGCCCAATGTTTGACTCACTGTGCCACCAGGGCTCCTTAGTGAATACCTACTGGGCACTTACTATGTGCCTGGTGCTGTTCTAAGCACTTCAGTGGTATTAACCCATTTAATCCTTACAATAATTCTAGGAGGTATGCATTTATCTTTCACAGCTGAGTAAAATGAGGTTAAGAGCTTGCCCAAGGTACCAAGCTTGACAAGAAGCAAAGGTGAAGTCACCATTTGCACTTAAATCCCAAAGTCCCAGAGCCCTTGTTCATAAGTGTTACACTCTCCTACCTTTTATACATGTAATAATGTGCTGTGTGAGAACGACGACTTCAGGATGATGGGAGATGCTGTATGTAGGCCAGACTTGGAAGCTTTCAGAAGCTCTGGCAGCCAGCCCTTACAACAATGGTGAGCACTTATTCCTCCATCCCCAGGTCACTTGGAGAACCCTGAGAGGTTGGGTGATTTGTTCAACCTTTTCATGATGAATTTCTGCTCAGAATTTCTTTGTTGATACCATGTATTTCCAATAATGGAAGGCATGCTAAAATTAGGGAGAATTTTTTTTTAGATAATATGGATTTTGACATAATTATATGGGACACCTAAGACCCAAGTGGGCTGGTAATAGGGGTAGATTTAGGTTTTTATTCAGATTCACAGTTACATAGGTCCTAGGCACTAGAACATAGCTATACAGTAGGTGCTAGAATAAACTGAGGCAGCAAGACCCACTTCTCAAAAAACCTGAGGGGCTGAAAAGGCTGGTGGGTAACATATGTCCCGTGGGTCACAAAAGTGTTAAGGTCAATAGAAAGATGCATGCAAGACCTGGGTCCCAGTGCTGCCATTTGTTAGTGGTGTGCATCTTCCATTTCTCTGAGCTTCTCAAATAATAAGACCCCTAAGGTGGAGGCAAGTATGAAAAACAGGCAGCACAGAGTTCTGTACCGAGAAGGTGCACAGTGAAAGCTAGCCCCTGTGTCATTCATTCCCTCCTGGCACAGCATTCTTCCCAAACACCCTGTGACTACTTCCGGGTACCCTCTTACCAACTATGCTAACAGATGGGTGGCACAGGACATGGTTCCTGAGTGACTACCATGTAACACTGAATCAGAAATGTTCCAGTTAGGTCCAGCCATGTTATGTCATTTTAAGTGTGACAAACTGCCTAACTTTTGTCCATATGGACAATCACTCCATCAAGTAGAAAGTATTCTAGTAGGAAACACAACAGGTCTACCAAGATTTGCTCTTCATAGAACTATGCTTAATGTTCCCCAATACCGCCTGTTCTGTTAAACAACTGCCAAATGAGTTACTGGATTTGTTCTAGTTGGCAGACATTAGTATCATAAGGTCAACTTATTTTTTAATTTTAACCCTTTTGCATCATTTTATTATTAGGTACTGTTGAGTTAATTCTGACTCAGATCCCATGTGACAGGGTACTATGGCCCCATAGGGTTTTGTCAGCTATAATTTTTTAAAAATAATTTTATTGCGGGCTCTTATAACATTCCATACATCAATTGTATCAAGCATATTTGTACATATGTTGCCATCATCATTTCCAAAACCTTTCATTCTACTTGAGGCCTTGGTATAAGTTCCTCTTTTTTACCCTCCTTCCCTCATCCTCCCATCCTTGTAAATACTTGATCAATTATATATTGCTATTATCATTTTATATCTTACACTGTCCATTGTCTCCCTTCACCCACATTTGTTATTTGTCCCCTTCAGGGGGGTCCCTGTATATCTAACCTTGTGATGGGTTCCCACTTTCTCTCCTTTCCCCCTTCCCAAACCTCCCCCTATCCTCATGATATAGCTACTCCCACTACTGTTCCTGAAGGGTTTATCTGTCACTTAATCAAACCCCATCAGGTATTATACACCCTCCTCACTATCAGTTTTAGATCTCTTGTTGTTCCCTTATCTATGAGTTTGTTGGTTCCCCATTCCCCCTCCCCAGCCTCTCCTCTCCCATGACCCCCCAGAACTCCTGGTCCTGTTTTCTCTTCAGGATTGTATGTTCTGCCTATCTTATATAGACAGACATAGGGTGAAAGAAATAAACAAACAAAAACAAAAATACAAGCAAACAAAACAGAACAACAACAAAAAAACCAATAGATAGTTCCAGGTCTGTCTGCTGACCCTTATGTATGTTTTATGATCAAGTTTGATGAGGTGTCAAGCTGTGTCCCCCAAGTCAGAAATCTATTTTCAGGATTCCTCGGGGACTTGGTTACTTTGTTCTCCTTGCTGCCCTGCTGCACTCCCTTCACATTTAACCCACTGTGCATGGGGCAGACCAGGCCCACTTTCTGCACAGTGTCTCGGGTACTGTCCCCCATAATGCTATGGGTCAGTGAGGGGACATCATATCTCATAGTGGGACCGGCCCAGCTACAGTCCTCTCTGTCCACTGGCTGCTCTGAGCAGCATGGTTGTTCCCGGGGCTTGGTGGGCCATGATGAGCTTCTCTCTCTCTCTCTCTTCCCCCCCTCCTTCCAAGTTCACTCCCAGTTGGTCTGGGCCAACCTGCCTTTCTCCCAGCTAAATCTTCAGTGCTGTCCTCTATATTGCCTCTTATGGGGAGGGGTCAACATAGCTCGGCTTGGACCCAGCCCCGTCTCAACATCCATTTTTGAACAGTTATTTTTCCCCCTCCTTTACAAGAGGAAGGATGCCTTTTGCCGTAATTCAGATGGGTCTCCTATTCACCACAAACTTTGAAAAATAAAAGCGAAAACCTTGGCACTAGGCAACCTGCCCTCATTTCTTTACACTGGAGACATCTCAGGAGACTGACCAGCATTGCTTGGGTGTCTCCATGTGGCCTGATTGATCAGCATGGCTAGTGGATCGGCCAGCATTTTCTGAAGGTAAAATATTAGTAGGCAGTATGGTGTCATACAGCAAAATCGCCACATAAATAATATTTTGTTGTTGTTGTTTTGGTCTCCCCCTGAATAGCAGCAATGTTGTCACAAAGTACATACTGTTCACTTCCAACTATCAATCTGAATGTTCCCATGTCTTAAGGCAATCTGGAAGTAGATGCCTAAAAGCCAAAGGAAATATTTCAATCAAATGTTGATTTTCTAAAACTACTCCTTCCCCAACATGCTAAAAGGCTCACAGGGTGTCTACAAGAAGAAGCACCGCGGGGGGGAAAAGTGGAGTCATGGGAACAAATTCGTTTGTGTTGGGCAGAGTGACGGTTCAATGCCAATTTGGAACAGCATGAATTCAATAACTTTTCAAAGCCAACACTGAGGTTTGGACATGAGCAGCTTTTTCAAGAAGCTTTTACTGAAGCCTAGTAGCTAATACATATCAAGACAAAACAAAAACAGTAAGAGTCAAAAATTATCTACCATTTGATGTGGGGGGAAAAGAGTAAAAAAGCAATAGCAGCTATTTGACTTCATTATTTCATGTTCTTTTTGATGCAACTTTAAGAAAAGGGGTTGGAGAATTACATATATCTTTTGTGCTTGAGTTTAAACTCACTGCTATCAAGTCAATTCTGACCCACAGTGACCCAACAGGACAAGTTAGAACTGCCTCTGTGGGTTTCCAAGACTGTAACTCTTTGCTGGAACAGAAAAACTCATCCTTCTCGCATGGAGTGCCTGGTGTTTTTGAACTACTAACCTCATGGTTAACAGCCTGATGTCTAACCCACTACACCACCAGGGCTCCTTGTGCTTGAGTTTAGCCATTTATAAAAGACAATATTAGCTGTTCTAGCATGCTCATGAATTTGATAGAAGGTAAATGAAATAACAGATGTTAAATTGCTGTTCAAAATTTTAAAGTATACAGCAAGATAAAATAGTATTTTTTAACCTGTAAGCATCTCTAAAGAGGTGGTTTAACAGTGGCAGCTAAAACTACTGAAAGCAACATAGTGATGGCATTTTCTTAGCCTTTCATGGAGATATATTAACCAGCAAATATAAATTTTCACCTTATTCATTAGCTCCATTAATTTTGCTTCACTTCTTGCAATTTGATACTCAAATAAATGTAATATAAATTCACTAAGTGGCAAACTGAAAGACTAGACCCTTGTCTCACAAAACTCCCTGCCATTTTACAAAATTAACAATATTTTTGTCAAGACACTTTTCTTTTTCTATTTTCCATAAATAAGTCATAAAATAAGATTAGCATCCCACTACTGATATCCAAACTAGGAAAGCTCAACACATCTGTGTCTTCAAACAAAGACTCAATGTCACACCCAGGTTTTGTGAGATTCTTCAACTTTAACTTACCTCATCACCCTTGAGGACTTCAGTGCCATCGAACTCCCGGGTCTGGTTGGTCTTCAAGGACACCTCTCTCTCGAGGATGGATAACTTCTCCTTTGCCTCCTGAAGTTCTTCAGCTTTGGCCTCTTTTTTACGAGAAATGATGGACGCCTAATTGATCATAAATACGACAGTAAAAGAACACATGCATTCAACTTTCTGTTGTTCTTGTGAAGGAATCTAGACAAGCATTTTCCATGTTATGGGGCTCAGTTTTCCCTATCTGGGTGGCTTCTCCTGACCACTACCCACCACCACCAGTGCCAGATTTAGTGGGCACTAATAGATGATACACATGTTGGAAGGCAAAGGCCTTGAAAGCATAAGCCATATTAACAGAGAAACAAAAAGGCAGTAAGAACAAGAATATTAAAGTCTTATCAAGTAACACTGAAATGCTACTGGAAAGAGATTCTAGGTAAGTAAATCGAATTTAACATTAAGTCTATTGTTCTTCTGTACAGTGGCTTCCTTTCCTCAGAAGAATGCTTTATTCTCAAAACCACAACATGGGCCATCTTATCTAGGTCAATAAATCAGATTTTTCAAATGAAATATTAAAACGTCTATTAAATTTGGGGCACTCTAATACATAAAATGCAGCTTCTATACCAAACATTTGACTCATCCAAATTATGCAAATGTTTAATCAAGTCAAATGGCTGTTCTAACCCTGAGTGCATCGTTTTATATTGGCAAGGACCTCTAATAGTACAATGGTTAAGAACTTGGCTTCTAACCAAAAGGTTAGCAGTTCCAGCCCACCCTGCCAGCATTCTGGCTTCTGTCAATATTATAACCTAGGAAACCTTACGGGGCACTTCTGCTCTATCTCATGGAGTCAATAATCACAACCACCACAGGCATTCTGAGGGGTCGCCCTAAATAAATCAGACACAATTATTTAAGAAAAATATGGGAAAAGATGTTTTTCTTCAGTGAAGTAGACTGCTTCTCTGAGAGTATTCCTGGTAAGAAATCAAAAAGGAATGCTAAAATCACCTGAAGTTTATAGGAATTCCTTAACGGCTCAAGTAAATGTAAACTTCAGCCTTAAAGCCAGATTTTTACTTAACAGAGACGCACAAGGGCATTTCTTACTGCAGGCAGGAACAAGTTAAAAGTATTAGGGAATATATTTGTAAAAATGGTGTCAGGGTTATTTGACCTCTAACTTCATGATGCAGTGGAGAGAATTACCATCAACACCAGTCCATTCTTATGAAGCAGAGGTCTGATATACCTCCTTCTAGCTTTTTTTTTTTTTTTTTTTTCACTATTTCTGACACTAGCCATTTTTCAGGGCATTCTCTACATCTCTGCTTGGTTTGATAATTTGTTGCAACGGCCACATAGAGCTCATAGTTACGGGGGTTATTAGTAAAGTAACAGGTTGCAATTAAGGATAACGATACAGTTCTTTGAGCTAGATAGCTTCTTTTCAGCCACACTTGTATAGTCAGGCCTTTTACTGGCTCTGGTCTCTTGACCACTCAGCCTGGCCCCTGCCCTGCTAGGGCAAGTGTTACAAAGCTCTTTAACTCCACTAGTAAGTGCCCCGGGGAATCCACTTCACCAGTAAGCCTTGGCTTGAAAGTGGCCCCTGCCCTGCTAGGGCAAGTGTTACAAAGCTCTTTAACTCCATTAGTAAGTGCCCCGGGGAATCCACTTCACCAGTAAACCTTGGCTTGATAGTGGCCCCTGCCCTGCTAGAGCAAGTGTTACAAAGCTCTTTAACTCCACTAGTAAGTGCCCCGGGGAATCCACTTCACCAGTAAGCCTTGGCTTGAAAGCATTTTGCTCACTTCTTGCTGTGAGTCAGCAGGCCCAGCTCTGTTGACAAGTGCCTCAAGGCAGCCTACTCTTCCAGAAGGTTTCCTACCAGAATGGACTCAGCTCTCTTAACTCCATGGTCTGGCAAGCTCACTGTGCCACTCACACTGGTCTCCTGGTTCTTTTACCTCTGCTGCTGCTGCTGCTGTTTCTCTGCCACCACTGCTCAGCACCTTGTACTTTCTTCATTGCTAAAGCTCACTCTCCCTCAGGTCTAGGAGGTTTTCAGTGTAGGAATCCTAGGTCCAAAGAAAACACTCCAATCCTAGCTGTTCTTCTTGGTGGTAGGAAGGTCACTCTTTCCTGTTGTGGGACTGGCTCTCTTTTAAGCCTAGTAGATGGCAAAACTACCATTTTTGGGAGTCCCACCACCTTATTTGTACAGTCCCCTTACCACCAGAGCTTCATGTACTTTCTTTACATTATCATTTACATTATGAGGGTCACAAGCACTTCATAGTCTCTCCTAATCAAATGGTGGGAATTACAAGACAACGGTAGGAAAGGCCATTAAAAAAGCATTCCATTGAACTATACCACTGAACAAAAGAAACCAATTTGAAGTATAAGAATTTGAAAAGAAACAGGAATTTTCAGAGTATATAATTATATATTTAAAAAAACAAAACTAATTGAAAAAGTATAGTCAACCAATTATCAGTTTCCATCAAAGAACAAAATCAGTGATAAGACATAAGAAAATACCTCATTTATATGAGTAAAAATACAATAGAATATGTAAACATAAATGTTAACAAGTCCCAAACTTTTATGAAGACAACTATTGAGCATAAATTAAACTTGGACAAATGTTCTTTTGTCCAAAGATGACCATGTTCTTCAACAGGAAGATTCAATATCGTAAAGATTTAAATTCTGAGTTAATTGGCAAATATGATGCAACTCCAAGAAATAAAATATTTGCTAGAGCTAAACAAGTCAATAAGAAAGTTTATTAAAAAAACCCACAGACAAGTGTAGCCAAAAAGACCAGAAAAAAGGAAAACAACTGGAAGTGGGAATGGCTACCTTTAGCGACTCTTAGAGCTCGACTATAAGGCTTCTATAGACTAAACAGTTGATGCAGGTGCATAGATAGACAGGTCGAGAGACAGAGTAGAAAATTTGGAAATCCAACATAGTTTAGAAATGTAGGGTAAATAAAGGCAGAATCTGAAGTCTTTGGGGTAAAGATGGTATTGGAACAATTGGATGGCCACATGAAAAAAAGATGTACTGCCATTTCATCAGAAGTTCTAAATAGATTCTAAGATATTTGCTATAAAAAGAATAAGCAAACAAAACATAATAAACACACACATATAAAAAACAAAATAAGACCTACCAAAAGAAGAAGCATGCCTTAAAAGCCTATAAGTAAAATCCTCTATAACCTGAAGGTGGGGAAATCATTCCTGTGACTCAAAATTTGAAAACAAGACCAGAAAGGGTTGATAAGCTTGATTTCATAAAACAAAGACATTTCCCATGACAAAAACCATTATAATCAAAGAGAAAAGATAAATAACAAGCTGGGGGTGGTGGTGAATGTTATAATTTATAAGCTATACAAAAAGTATTCCTCGGCCTCATTACCAACTAAATGGACAACACCACCCTCCCCCCAAGAAGAATTCACTTCAGAGGACAGCACTGAAGCTACAGCCCAAGAAGAGGGACTGGTCTGGTCAGAGCACACAGGAGCCAACGAGGGGGGATACAGGGGGAAAAAAAGAAAAGAGTGAAGCACATCCTGGCTCACCAAGCCCTGAGGACAATGTTCCTGCTCAGAATAGCAATGCACAGAGATGAACACAGGGCTGGCCTCACCACAGGACACAGCATTCCTCATTGACCCATAGCACCACGGGGGACAACACTAGAGACACGCAGTGGGAACTGTGCCTGCCATGAGCGCACCACACGGAAGCCAGCCTCTGGGGGTATGCAGCAGAGCAGTGGGGGGAGCAGAGCAATGAAGTCCCCAGGGATAGATGCGGTGCCAGGGCAT